CATGCGTTTTACTGTATGTATACAACAATAAACTATTAATAATTACGCTCTGTAGATATCTATACATGAAAAATCCTTTTAGACAACAAAGTGCTAAGTGGTGATATTTAACTACCATGCAGTGTGAAAAAATTTCTCTATTATTAATTAGTCTGTCCCAAAAAAATTGTACTGAATATTTGCATCTTTGAATAAGTACACATATATGATATCCGTTACTTTGGTTTTCAAAATTTAGAATATATTAGTTTTCTATCGGTTTATTCCATATAGAGTGGTTTATTAATAATGGAACATGATCGGAGATTCTTTAATCTTTATCTGTTGATTATCGATTTATTCCATATAGTGTTTTATTAATAATGGAACATGATCGGAGATTCTTAAATCAACAGATAATGATTGAGGTAAATTTGTCTGAATCAAATTTTGCTACTTTTTAATATCAAGAATCTTAAATTAAAAAAAAAGCGTTTAAATTCTGGCCTAGTACCTGGATGGCTGACCATCCAAGGAAGGCTCGACTTGCTCGTCCACTTTCTAGTGGCCTATATGTCAGTGTATTCACAGAAGCTATATAAATGTAGGTGAGGTTTGTACAGAAAGACATACCAATCCTTTGAAAGGATGTAAAACTGTTGGTCTCTTGTCTAAGCAATGCTAGGCAAATAAAAGATCCCTATCTTACAACAATGTGGTGGTTCAGCTAAATGTCCTACGTAAAAAAATGGGAAGCACTCCTATCCTAAATCGCCGCTCATACGTTTTATTCGTTCTATCCGAATGCGTTCCTTCTCAATCTCACGCATGTCTGCCTGAGTTAGAAGCGCAAACTTATTCGTGTCGATCTGTATTTAAATTTTAATTTGGTACTGTCTATTTTTCAAATTTCATAATACTGTAACTTTATGGAAAATTAAAATTTTGATTACAAAAAAACCTATATGTTTCAAAATTCAGTACAAAGAATTTAGGGGCGTATTTTTGAGATCAAAATAAGACTTTTTTTTTCCTATAAACGTGAGTCCACAAATGCTTATTTTTCAATATTAAGCTCTTTATATTTTTTTGCATACGACTAATCATTTTCGAGAAAATCACTGCTGACTAGTGACAATACTACCGTATAGTCGGAATTGATTCTCTCGAAAACGGTTAGTTGTATCAAAAAAATACGGAGCTAAAATTAAAGATCATTACATTACTAATTAGTTGGAGGAAATAAATTTAAAATTTTTCACCGTAAATAGTTAATAACATTTGAAAATATGGTGTGCATTTAACTCTTCATCAGCCAATATCTCAGAAATGGTTGGTCTGAGAGGTTTCGACGAAGGATATCTTTTTTGCTTAAAATTGATAAGGGAATAAACGCACTAATACGAAACGTCAATGTATAGGGTAGCAAAAAATTTAGGTCAAATTTAATTCAAGCGTACCCTTATAGGTGGCGGCCGTCTGTTACCAGCCTCATTAGCAATGACATATTTATATTGAGCATCCTGAAAAAACCCAAGTTTTATGCCAACATTCAAATCTGTTCGGAAATTATTCTTAAAAATCGAACAAAATAAAAAACTTTAACACCCTGTATATTGAAAACTAAGCATTTGTTGTGGACCCACGTTTATAGGAAAAAAGTCTTCTTTTGACCTCAAAAATATGCCCCTAAATTCTTTACACTGAATTTTGAATTAGCCTGTATATTTGGACAAATATGTTCATCCCTTTTCGAGAACCTATATCTGCTCTATTTTTAATTCCATATTTTAGAAATTTCGGTAGAAATTTTTTCATCACGAAAGTTCTTTTCCATACTCCTTTATAAAAATACGCCCACCAGACGCATAGTGGGAAATATGGGAAAAAATTCTACGCACTCGGTTATTTTAACCGTATTTTCTTTTCGTAATTTCTTTTTTATTCTTCATGAAATAAGCTTCATTTTATGATCCTGGTGCGACAATTTGATATATCTATATAGAAATTTTTTAAATCGAGTGAGAACCTATCAGCCACAACACCTAAGACAATAATTCGGTATTTAAAAATAAAATGAAAATTTTTGTGACATTGAATAAAAAAAAACTAAAAACAAGAAAAAACAAAAAAAAAATAAAAAAAAAAACAGAAGAACGACCCTCTTGAAGACTGCTACCTTGACGCGGTAGAAGAGCTTAATTAAGTTTTATATACTTAAAGATAACGAAATGCAGTTCATGGAATAATTTTGGTAAATAATAGATATAGATTTTAAGTCTTACGTTTTAACAGAAATTGTTGAAATTCTTATAATTTTTCGAATGAAAAAATCTAAATATCCACTTATTTTTTGCGGATTTGAGAATAAGTTTCAAGGGTTTGAAATTAGGTTTACATTGTTTGGTTTGGAAAATATGCTTCGTTTGACTTTCTAGCTCAGATTTCTTGGATTTGTGGTTAGATATTTAAGAATAGAGATTAGGGTATTCAAAAATAAAAAATATAAGAAAATAGCTTTCAAGGACTTTTATTCTTTGGTGTGGAACATTCTATGAATTTCTAGCCCAAGTTTTTAGAATTTGAAGTTGGGCTTTGAGGACTTGTGGTTAAACTTTGAATGATTTGAGGTTAGGTTTTCATGGGTGTAGGTTTATGGCTTTAGAGGTAAGAAATATAAGCTCAAAAATATAGTAATTACACCCAAAGATTTAGAAAAGTCAGTGTATTACTTTGAGGTTAGATTTGATGAATTTGAGGTTATATTTTTGGATTCAGGTTTAAGGTTGAAAAGTACTGTGAAGCTACATTATTATTTTCGTTGTCTAATGACCCTTATATACGATTTTTTTTATTTTTAAATACCAAATTATTTTTGGTGTTGAGGCTGATGGGTTCTGACTCGATTTAAAAAAATCCTATATAGATATATGAAATTATTGCACCAGGATCATAAAATTAAGCATATTTGAAGAATAATCAAAAAGAAATTACCACTGTACGGTTGAAATAGCCGTGTGCGTAGAATTTTTTCCTATATGTATTTCCCACTGTGGATACTACGGTTGTGTTTATTTTGAACTGCTGAAAGTTGGTTCGACCACATATTTCTTGCTTGGAATATTAATATAAAAGTCAGATTATAACCGAGCGTTCAAATAAAAACGTGGTCGAAGTTGGCTCTGACACATTAGACGTAGGGAGTAGCTTATAGCGACCAACTTAACCTCATTTCTCAACGAGTTGTATAGCAGCTGTCAGTTTCAATAACGTTAATGACTTTATTAACTAATTTAACTTTATTTTAAAGAATAAAATAACAANCGACAATTTGATATATCTATATAGAAATTTTTTAAATCGAGTGAGAACCTATCAGCCACAACACCTAAGACAATAATTCGGTATTTAAAAATAAAATGAAAATTTTTGTGACATTGAATAAAAAAAAACTAAAAACAAGAAAAAACAAAAAAAATATAAAAAAAAAAACAGAAGAACGACCCTCTTGAAGACTGCTACCTTGACGCGGTAGAAGAGCTTAATTAAGTTTTATATACTTAAAGATAACGAAATGCAGTTCATGGAATAATTTTGGTAAATAATAAATATAGATTTTAAGTCTTACGTTTTAACAGAAATTGTTGAAATTCTTATAATTTTTCGAATGAAAAAATCTAAATATCCACTTATTTTTTGCGGATTTGAGAATAAGTTTCAAGGGTTTGAGATTAGGTTTACATTGTTTGGTTTGACTTTCTAACTCAGATTTCTTGGATTTGTGGTTAGATATTTAAGAATAGAGATTAGGGTATTCAAAAATAAAAAAATATAAGAAAATAGCTTTCAAGGACTTTTATTCTTTGGTGTGGAACATTCTATGAATTTCTAGCCCAAGTTTTTAGAATTTGAAGTTGGGTTTTGAGGACTTGTGGTTAGACTTGATTCGAGGAATGAGGATTTGGAATGATTTGAGGTTAGGTTTTCATGGGTGTAGGTTTATGGCTTTAGAGGTAAGAAATATAAGCTCAAAAATATAGTAATTACACCCATAGATTGAGAAAAGTCAGTGTATTACTTTGAGGTTAGATTTGATGAATTTGAGGTTATGTTTTTGGATTCAGGTTTAAGGTTGAAAAGTACTGTAAAGCTACATTATTATTTTCGTTGTCTAATTACCCTCATATACGATTTTTTTTATTTTTTTATTTTCAAATACCAAATTATTTTTGGTGTTGAGGCTGATGGGTTCTGACTCGATCATAAAATTAAGCATATTTGAAGAAGAATCAAAAAGAAATTACCACTGTACGGTTGAAATAGCCGTGTGCGTAGAATTTTTTCCTATATGTTTTTCCCACTGTGGGTGCTACGGTTGTGTTTATTTTGAACCGCTGAATGTTGGTTTGACCACATATTTCTTGCTTGGAATATTAATATAAAAGTCAGATTATACTAATTGCTTTGACGTTATGAAAATTATTCATACGATTAAAATAAACATGCAGAAAAATATCAAATATCAAAACTAAATAAAAGTTCTATTAAAATGCTGTAAAATTAAAAATCATATTTATATCGAAATCGATCGGTTTTTTTGATTTGCAATTACTTAGTATACCAATTTTATTTAGAAAAAAGTATCGTTTTTTTACAAATGGTAGTTAAGTAAGGGATAAAAAAGTTTAAGTCATATTTACTCCTCTATTGTGTCCCGTTTTAAAATACCTCCCAATAACACCGATTTTTCAAAATTCATCCTGTCAAAGTAATTCCCATGTTTCTTTCTTATAGGTACGTCATCTGTTTATAAATTATTTCCGTCACACTTAAATATATTTTATTGGATAAGTATTAATTTGATCACCTTGAATTATATGCTGTTTAATCACGGACGATAAATCGTTAACATCGCTAACCAATTTAGTTGAGAATAAATTTAAACCGGCACCTGTTTTTTAAAACTCTATGCAACTTATTTCTGAATTATTATGAAGTATCAAAAGTATAAGTTAACTCACCTCCTATTTAACATCACTCTGTATAGCACGAAACAGTGTCTGGTACAACAGCTCACATCAACCAATATTTATTTAGATATCCATGAAATGCACATCAATAACAAATAATAGGTTATTGTACTTGGAACTTGGATTGATAATTAATAAAAGTTTACACTGTTATTAATACTCAAAAGAAACAATTATTACATTATCTATTTATTATAAAATTTTCCAGTAGGGCACGTTTCGCTTTGTAAACAGGACGCGAATGCAACGATAACTTGAAGAGGATATAAAAATGTTCCGCGTACCGGCAAATGACTGACTATTCTTGACTTTCTCTTTACATTTACGATGGCTCCCTCCACGTTTGGTACGCTCTGCACACCTATCAAATGTTTATGTTTCTGAATGAATAATTCCCTTACGGTGTAACAAACAAACTAATGCCATTAGATAATAAATGTTTTCATCCTGATTAACGTACAGAGTGCGCGCAACTCTGACTATTTTTTGGAGGTTTCTCGAGCCCGATTTTGAAAATATGTATATTAAACGCCGTAAACCACATGTCAATATTTTGTCTCGTCGTTAATTTTTGATCGTTATTAGTTATGTTGAATAACTTTTAGTTGTGAATTTTTTTTATTTTCTTAAAGAAATTCTTTATTCATTTTTTACCATATTTCCTCACACCTTCGAATTTTAAATTATAAATTTGGTTATTTTTAATTCTAGCCCAAATTTTTCGATTTTAGAAATTTACTTAAAATTACCTTTATCCAATTTTTTTTAAGATATACAGGATGTCTCAGTTTTAATCTATGAGACTTCGGGAGCAGATAGTACTTCGAAAAATAATAGTACCCTATCATATAAACTTATTTCGAAATCTCAACTGTGTTCGAGATACAGAGTGTTAATAGTTAAAAAAAATCATTTACTGTAAATATCTTAATAAAAGAAATATTTGATCTAAATTTGGTGTACGTTATATTGGGTAAAGTTTCAATAAAATACTGCAGTATTAAGACTTTTGCGAAACCAGTGGCGGAGATATGTCTCTGTTTTACGGCAAATTGGATTTCTCTTTTCCCTTTCAAATTAGCCAGATACTGTGCGTAATGGATTTTTTAAATTCCTGTTGAAAATATTTCGTATTTCGGCTAGTTTCAACTAATTTAAATAATAAATTAAGTAGCATCTTTCGAATGAATAATATTAAGTATTACTTGATTATACATGGTTTTTAGATTTCTCATACATTTTTTACCGCTAGTAATTTTTTCTACACTTTTTCAGTAAATAAAATTTAAAACAAAAATAAATGCAGGAAACAACTTATAAAAGATGAAATACATGAAAATTTATCTAAAAGGTTAATATATCAAAAGTACATAATAATTCAATGCTAAAAATTAAATTAACAACGGATTAACTAACTAGTAAATGATTATTATTATTATTGCTGCTACTAACAGTATTGAGTACATTTCATAATAGGTGTTCAATGGACACAATTTGCCTCAACACATGCCCTGTAGGGTGTTAAAATATTTAATTGTATGCATTGGAGCTTAACCCTGTCTTCTTTTAATTGGTAACTGCAGTTCTTATGCGACGTATTAGTTGTTCCTTTTAGTATTTATTTGGAATTCGTATACATAATTTTTAATTATGCTTATTCTAAGATCTGGTGCTCTGGATAATAGGGCCCTGTTTGCCAATTCATCTTTTAGGATAGTTAACGTTTAACCAGTTTTCAACTACCTTATCAGAATGAGCAGCAACCCCATCTAATTGCAACCACATATTCCTCCTTAAGACTAAAGGTTTAGCGTCACATAAAATAATAAGTTGACTTTTACTTGGAAATTAATGAATGAAATAATAATATTATTGATTTTATTTAAATTAAAAATCCAATTTGCCGTAAAACAGAAACATATATCGAAAAAATATAAGACGAATTTTTTGTTTCCATTGACATGCCTTTTCATAAAATGTAATCAATTATTATTTTGCACAGGACCGTACTATTTTTTTTATAAAATAGTCGAATGATTTTCCATATATCCGCCAATGGTTGCGCAAAAGTCTTGATATTACAGTATTTTATGGAAACTTGACCCAATATAACGTACACCAAATTTAGTTCAAATACCTATATTATTTCAGAAAATGTTTACAGTAAATGCATTTTTTTTAATTACTAACACCAAAATGGTTGAGACTTCGAAATAAGTTTATATGACGAAATACCAATATTTTTCGTTGTACTATCTGCTCCCGAAGTCTCATAAACTAAAACTGAGACACCCTGTACCTATAGGTATTAGGGTGGCCCAAAAAAAAAAAAACATTTTTTTTTATATCTCTTGTGAAAATATATTAGTTTATCATGTTTTAAGAGCCTCCTCAAAAAATCAGCACAAAAAAAAATTTTTAGAGGTCGTTCAAGATTTTTAAAAATTTCCAAAATCGTAAAAATTTGATTTTTTCTTTTTTATTTTTTTTCTTATTATTTTATCATTTTCCAGGTTGAAAAAAATCTCGATTCTGAAAATTTTAAATCAATATTTTAGTTTCTAAAAGTCACAATATTTTAACTTTCAAAGTAGTGTACCTTAGTTTTCGAGACCTCTAAAAATAAATATCAACGCACTAATATTTTTTTTTATTGAATTTGATGAACAAAAGAATAGAAATAAATAACGAGACATTTAAATTTCAAAAAATTAAAAAATTATAAATATTTGATAGTCACAGTGCGGTAGTAAATTTTGCCACGAGAAATTTTTTAAGTGTCTCGTGATTTATTTATATTCTTCTGTTCATCAAATTAAATAAAAAAATTATTAGTTCGTTGATATTTATTTTTAGAAGTCGCTCGAAAACATTTTAGGTACACTACTTGTAAAGTTAAAATAATTATGAGTGATCTTTAGAAATTAAAATATCGATTTGAAATTTTCCGAATCGAGACCTTTTTCAACCTAGAAAATGATAAAATAACGAGAAAAAAAATAATTTTTGACGATTTTGGAAATTTCTAAAAATCTTGAGCGACCTCTAAAAAAATCTTTTTTGAGTTGTTTTTTTGAGGGGGCTCTTAAAACATGATAAACTAACATATTTTCACAAGAGACACGAAAAAAAATATTCGTTTTTTTGGGCCACCCTAATAGGTACATACACTAAATAAATATTTTTTGTAAGTTTTATGAAATGTTCAGCGTGCTATTCTAGGATATTATGTAAAAATGTGCTGCAAAATTAGAATTTGCATCAATTGAATATCAATCTCCTATGGTGAGGGCAACAATGTTTATTATATGTTTTTGGGATTGCTGAGTCCGAATCCGAGGTCTGTTTGGCCTTGTTAGGTCAGGTTCAAGGTCATTATAATGAAGTTTCTGGAAGAAAAGGTGTTTTATTTATCTTAGATACGTACATATTAAATTAGTTCTCATAGTTAAAGAAGTCTAACATTAATTCAATCTTTATACGGTTTTCGAGAGGTGTGTAAAATTAAATATGTATATACTTTGTCCTTTAAGTAGTGACGTTTTTACAGACATAATTTTTACTGACTTCATTAATTTAAACCTGCTATACCAAGTTCTTCATTGTACTATTATTTTAAGAAAGCTGTTTAATTAATTGGTTTAAATAATATTTTGTATTATTTATCTTTAGGTATCATTCACAAATTTATATTTTACTCTAGAGAATATGTGTTACTTACTGTGTAGTATAACAACCCTAGGTTCGACAAAAAAATAAGTAAACGTAGTTGTGGCCAAAAATATGTGATCGTCATAAGGACTACCTACGTTGTGTGTATCCATTTTTAATTGACCGGAAGGCGCTGGCTACTAACTTTGTAGAGGGGATGTATGGTTTAATTATATAAAACAAAAGCAGAGTAAATACACCTAACCTTTATTTACATACAATTCAAATTAAACATGTGACAAATAGAAAGAACAACAAAAACATTAACAACCATTTAACATAAAATGAGAGTGCCAGGCTCACCTAGAGCTCCTGCGGGGAAAGAGCATGGCAGAGAAACCCACGATCGTTGCTCTTACCACCCAAATATAAATACAAAACAACCGCTAACCAAAGGCATACATTAAGAACCTTTGCTAATGATAATTAAAACTGGACTTATTTAATTTCTCACTAAATGTCATCTCACTCAAATTAGACATACACACTTCCAAGTAAAACTGAAGAGGTTTTAGTAACAATAATAACAACAACAACAACAATAATAATAATAATAGCAATAATAATAGGGAAGGTACTGGAGTCCCATACGGGAGGCAATCCAGCTATAGTTGAGATTTCAGGGGAACAACAACAATAATAATAATCATAGGTAAGGTACTGGAGTCCCATAATACGGGAGGCTATCCAGCTAAAGTTGAGATTTCGGGAGAACAACAACAATAATAACAATAATAATAATCATGGGTGAAAATGTTAGTAAATTCAACAAAGCTCTTTCATACGTATGACATAAAGTGAGCACAAGAAATCAAAGAACAACGTAATCAAGATAAAACAAGTTAAATGTGAAACAAAGAAGCTGTTTTGCAATATCTGGGCAGACACGACAAAATATACATATTTCAACATGAAATAAATAATGAGCAATCGTTAATAATAATTGAAACAATTTTATCTTAGAGAAATATACGCCCTTCAGCATAAAGCAATGGAAGCTAAACATACAAAGAATTATTATCATGAAACCTCTATAAACATTACAATCATAAGATTACAGAGAACAATTAACAACAAAGTACTTAAAGGATATTACCTGCTAACTAATAACACTTTTAACAATTAACTTTTCACTACTTCGACACACTGCCCGCCGACCGTCTTACTACCTATCTGCACACTGTTCGCACTTCAACTGCCTATCTTCGACTCTTTAGGCTTCCTTTGAGAATTTCCTACCTAGGCGTTTTCTTTTTTTTTCGGTTTCTTTTACCAACCGTCAATATTACTTTTTCATTATTATACAACACCTATGTAACAGGTGACGTCGAAGTTGATAAGATAAGTACGGTTTTGCACAACTGCATTAATAAATCTTAAATTTATTTGTAGTATGATCCCCAAATCTAACTGATTTAATTAAAAAATGTTTGCTTTTACACGTAATAATTTGTTATTTACTTCTTCAAACGTTACCTTATTTTAAGCAAAAATATGTCATAATTTTGTATGTTTTTAACGATGTATGAATCAACAATGATCCAACAACATTAGCCCGACCATAGATTACCCGTTGGCCCACTCAT